CTTTTCCGTTAAAAGTTTTGCTTTGTATCTTATAATCTCATCTTTCTTATTTAGTGTTTGCATAAATACTTATTTGTATCCCACCAGACTTAACATTTTCGAGTGTTTTAACTATGAGTTCAAAAAACTACTATTTTATAAGAGAACATAATTCTTTCGGATTGCTCTTTTCATTTAAGTCAATCATCTTTATGTCAATATTCTTCAATAATTTAGACTTAGGATTCTTATTTTTATTCATAATATCAATTGTAATATTATATGTAAAAATCTTATCAATAGATGTTTCTTTTCCGTCCTATTTTCTCCCCGCATTGATATAATTTATCAAAATCTCTTGATTTTTCTCAAGTATTTGGACTTTTTCTGAAGCCTATTATCGAAATATATTGGACTATTTGTGAAATATTTTCATCTTGCCCTTTGCTTTTAGGGATTTTTATCTTTAAAATCGACTAGTCTTCCACGCTTCGGGCATGCTTTAAATTCATTAGCTATAACATTAATAGATCGTCCTTCCGGGACATCAATTCTAATAAGAGCATTCTCAACGGGTACATGCATTACGGTTACTCATTTAGGATTTGAGAATGCATCTAACAGTTGGTTTGTAATACCATGTAAATGAATTATCTTTTGAACTTTTAGTTCACATTATCTTTTACAAGAATCAAGGTGATATAAGATAGAGTACTTCATGCAATTTTTTTTCAACATTTTCAACTCGCTTATTTTTTTTATTCTCTCCCCCTAATGTTGAAAAAACTATTTCATGAAAATGACGAATCAATAAATCGAGTCGTAAAAATTTTCTCTTGTTCATGAATCAAGAGATTGAATTATTGAATAGGATTCATATATTCTCATTCTTTTTTAAGTGCTAATTTTATTTCATTATGGAGGAGCACTAACGGATAAACATTATGACACAAAAAAAATCTTAAATAAGAAATATTTAGCTCATGACCATAAATCAATCGAAGAGGAGAAAATTTCGATAACTTATGAGTTATATGCGAATAAATGCTGCTCGCATGTAAGATTGTATGTCCCCAAACATAAACAGGGAGTTTTATTTTTAAATAACGATTTAGTTATTAATTCGAGCCTTTTGATAAATGATTTTGCTAAACCTTTTTGAGTATGAACATGAGCAACAAGATGTTCAACCTTTATTTTAATAGCCAATCAATAATAATTTAATGCTTGAGAAATAAATTCATTAGCATTATCAAGGTGACTTGTTTTAATGGCATAATTTGAAAATTATGCTCGAAATCAAATTATTTGCTAGTAATCTCAAAAACGTCGAGTTTCAAGTAGATAATAAGTATATACGTGATCATCTTATGGATGCATTATCAAAATCATAAAATATTTAAATGGTCCACATGGTGGATGAATTGATCCACATATATCACCTTGAATACATTCTAAAATACTGGAGATTCAATCTCAATTTTACTTGATGATGGCTTAATCATCAATTTGCCTTGGTAACATGCGGAACATGAAAGTTCATTAAATTGAAGAATCTTCGGCTCTTCAATAGATATTCGTATAAATAATTTTTTGCATTATAAAAGACCCAAGATAGCACAACTGGTCATGTCACATAATAAAAGTATTTGAATTTGTAAACTTTTGGTTTACTATATTATTGGTTTCAATCATTTCAATGTTTGTAACAAAGACTAGAAGAGAAAACGAATAAATTTTTTACTAGATATTTTCTACCCGATATAATGATTATAACATATAAGAATTCACATTTGCTATCTTGATATGATATCAATTTAGATGAATATCTTTGAAACTCAATAAATTTCTATGAGACTTTGAAGAGAATAGTACATCATTCATAATAAATTTATCCTTTCGGATAATAACATATTTGCTCTTCCGGAGCCTTTAAATTAGTCACTTCAAGTAATAATATATCGACTCTTCTAGAGCCTTTAAAAATTTTCTCTTCAAGTAATAATTTATTCACTCTTCTAGAGCTTCAAAAATTTATCTCTTCAAGTCATGATATAATCGCTCTTCTAGAGCTTTCAAAATCTATCTCTTTAGATAATAATATAGTCGCTCTTCTAGAGCTTTCTATTAGATTGATATTATCATATATAATATTAACATAAAATAAATAATCAAATAAATCAATACAAAATAAATAAATCAATATATTCCTCATAAACACAAATAAATAAATAAATAGTAAAATAAATTTATAACCATAAATATACGTCATAAATTATAAGAAATATAAAATATTTTATTTATAAATAGAAAAACTAACAAGTAATTAATTTTAATTACTATTACTTTGATATATAAAAGTGGTCTTCATATTTTACTCTTTATTTTTCAATAAGGCTTGACAAGGCTTAATGAGGTGCTTTGGTGTACAACGTGTACACGATCAATATTCATCAATTCAACATCTATAATATTTATTTTTCGAATACCGACTTTATCTATTTTTATTCCTTTTTTTCATAGTTATCCACTACTCGGTGGTGAAATGTGATATTATGGTCATTACGATTATAATCATAATTATTTCGACCATATTCATGGCTATGGCCACATCTCATCCATGTCTAAAATTATTATAAATTGTCACATTCACTTCGAGAAATGGAGTAGATCCAATTGGATGAGATTTATTCTTTTTCATTTTATTTAGCCACTAACAAGTATAAAATCGATCCAAAATATTTCTTAAACTCTTTTTCTCGATATGCTACTGCATGAGCATATCCAAGACATAAAAAGTAGAGAATATTTTTCAAAATCAAGCACTTATAATCAATAATTCTTATTCAAAATATCAAGAGTCACCAAATCAAGTTTATGAGGTTTGATATGATAAAAATTCTATAATACAATATATAATAATAATATTATAAAATAAGAACAAATATAATAATAAAATTAAATCTTTTCAAATAACATATAGTAGATCATTAGTAGATCATTTAAGTTTTTCAAATATATATTTCATGTATTAATATATTTAAAATACATAAATAAATTAGATACATACCTCTTAATGATCTAAATAATTTAGATCTTTTCGTGGAGCACTTGTGTAGAAGAAATTCAATTGTTGAAACAATGGATTAAATCTTTTGGTAGATACATACCTCATGGTCTATTGTCTCGATTGGTTAGAGCTTTGTATCGATAACGTGTTATAAAATAAATAGAAATGATAGGAGAATTGAAGAAAAGGATGACAAGAAAATGAAATCACTATAATGTGAATATGAGTGATAAGAACTTCAAAGTTTCTCTTATTCTCTCTAAGAAACTTGTACACCAACTAATGAACAAATCAAGCCTATTTATAGGCTTCAAAATCGAGGAGAGAATTGGAAGAGACTATGAATAATCAATTGCATCACCCTTTCAATTTCTTATATTGAATGATGAATTGAATCATATTAATAATCATGAGTAATTGGGATATGAAAAGTGAATGAACATGATGATTGACATTCATTATTTCTTAACGACATTAAATTATTTGACAAAGAAAATTAAAAAGAAAGATGGCAACAAACATGAGCATTAAATGCTCTTCCACAAAGGATTGAAAAAAATAATGAATAAAATAACAAGAGCATTAAATGCTCTTTCACGGAAGAAATAAAAAATGATGAAAGAGAAAGGCAAAAAAGAAAATAAAGATAAAATGCAAGAGTAATAGATAAATAATTACCAAAGCAAAAGAAAAAGAGTTGAGAGAATACACAAAATCAACAAATAGAACGGCCATAAACGAAGAATATGGAAAATCAATGGCTAAGGCATAAGAATAGTAGAAATGAGTCTTTGTCCACGAGTGAAATTGAGGGTAAGTGAACAGTAAAAAAATAATAAACTCATCGGATCTTTTAGTTTTTTTAGTAATTAATTGATTGTGCAATCAAATTAGTAATGCATTTATTTGTTTGTATGTTTTTTTTTTTCGGTTGGTTTTATTCGTCTTTAAAAATATTGTTGATGGATAATTTAATAGCCAAATTTATCCTCAAATTATTACAAACTTAATAAATTAAAGATTATATTATCAATTTAAATTATTTAGATTTTAAATTATTAATTTATAAATATTTTTTTTGTTTTTAATGATTAAAACTTTGATGGTTAACTGAAATATTTTAACGATAATTTATGAATAAATGTTTTTTTTTTGTTTTTGACAATTAAAATTCTGACAATTAATTGAAATATTCAGACGATATCATTTAAAACTTTGGCAATTAGCTTAAATGTTTACATCATTATTTATGAATAATTTTTTTTTTCGTTTTTCATAATTAAAATTCTGACAGTTAAGTGAAATGTTTAAGTGATATGGTTTAAACATTTCAATTCTTTTTTTTTTAATAATGAAAATTGATTTAAAAAATTAATAATGGTTAACCCAACAATAGCAGGTCCTGAAAGTTCTACAGCAGCAGCCTCTCTTGTTCTCGAATCTACACCGATGTAAAACCCAATACTGAACAAAATATAGGTTTTAAAACCCTGCAAATCCCCGAAAAAAGCCCAGTTGTTGGACCAAAAAGCAACCTTAATCCCAAACGAGGGAAAAAAAAAAAAAGAATTAAATAGCAATAAAAACTTTGGAAAGGTCGTTTGGGCCGCTCCTGAACAAGCGGTTTGAAGGATGAATTTTACCATTAAACCGTTGATGGCCGTGCAAAAAATGAGTAGCACATCAACAAAGAGCGAGTCAAAACGACAGCTCCGAATTAATAACCAAGCCCGCCAAGTTTTCCTTTGGAAATCTCCAACATAACCACACAGAAAAATGCCATAGAGAACAAAAATCAAACACCTTCAGTGCCATAACCACCATCACAACCACCCCATTCCTTAAATATCTCCATTTCCTTCTGCCTCTCTTCCATGTAACTCATAAACCAAAACACCATCTTGCCTTTGCCAAACCAAACCAAACCAAACCAAACCAAACATACATAGCAATGTCATTGAGACAAACCATCAAACAACTCCCCTTCATTTATTCCTACCCGTTGTTTCGCTCTTTCTCTTCCTCCTCCGCTCACCAAGACCCATACTCTCTCCTCAAAGAAGACCCAATAGATATCTGCTCTTCTATCTGGGTCAAATCCTTCTCTTCACCATCAAACTTTACTTTCTCTAACCTCACTGGTTTCCTCTCCAAACTCGACCTCTGGGTCCTCGCTTACCAACGCTCCTGCGCTCATGTCACCGGAAAGTTCCCTCCTCGAAACGCACTCCACTCCCATGCTCTCCATTCCCTGCTCTCTCTTCAAACCGCTGTAGTTCACAACCGCTTCAAATGGAACGACAAGGCCCACCAAATCCTCCGCAACCCCAACGATGGGCCTTCTACCAACCTAGTGTCCAAGAGGAAGCTCAGGGCAATGGTGGATTCTGATGATCCGTGCTTCCAAGACCGGGTTGTTCAGGAGGTGCTTCTGATGGTGCTTGAGCCTCTTTTTGAAGCACGGTTTTCGAGGAAGTCCCACGCGTTTAGGCCCGGAAGGAATGCACACACAGTAATTAGAACTATTAGGAGTAATTTTTCTGGATATTTGTGGTTTTTGAGGGGTGATTTGAGTGATATTCTTGACGACGTTGATGCCGATGTTGTAATGGGATGTGTTGAAAAAGTTGTTAGAGATAAGAGAGTGTTGAGTTTGATAACAAATGCGCTTGGAGCGCCGGTTAGGATTCGAGAAATGGGCAATATTGGTGATGGTGAACAGTCGAGGAACAAGAAAAAGAGGAAATCTACTAAGAAGAAGATTTTGAATGAGAATGAGTCAAAACCTGACCCTTATTGGTTGAGAACTTTCTTTGATTTTGCTCCTGAGGAGGCAGCGAAGATACCCACTTATGGTTATTGTGGGATTTTGAGTCCATTGCTTGCTAATGTGTGTCTCAATGAATTGGATCAAATGATGGACGAGAAGATTGTTGACTTCTTCAGGCCAAATAAGCTTGATTCTATATGGAAATATTCCATCGATGATGCGTGTCATAACCCTTCTTGGCCAGAGTTTGTACCATCTAGTGGAAAACAGAAGACTAGGAAAATGGATTACGTTCGATATGGGGGTCATTTCTTGATTGGCATTCGAGGGCCTAGAGAAGATGCAGTGCAAATTCGGAAGGAAATTATTGAGTTTTGCGAGAGGAAGTTTGGTATCAGGCTGGATAATTCGAAAGTTGAGATTGAGCACATAACTAGGGGAATTCAGTTCTTGGATCATATAATTAGCCGCAGAGTTATATATCCTACACTTCGTTATACAGGCAGTGGAGGCAAAATTGTGAGTGAAAAGGGCGTGGGGACTTTACTTTCAGTTACTGCTTGTTTGCAGCAATGTATGAGTCAGTTTAGGAGGCTTAAGTTTGTTAAGGGTGATAAGGATCCTGAGCCATTGCCTTGTACTCCGATGCTTTACTCAGGTCAAGCCCATACTAATGCACAAATGAATAAGTTTCTCGAGACTATGGCAGATTGGTATAGATATGCTGACAATCGAAAAAAAGTTGTTGGGTTTTGTGCATATGTGATTCGTAGCTCATTGGCTAAACTTTATGCTGCAAGGTATAGACTAAAATCACGTGCAAAGGTTTACAAGATTGCTTCACGTGATCTCAGTCGGCCATTGAGAGAGAGTAGTAACAATTCTGCTCCTGAATATTCTGATCTTTTGAGAATGGGACTTGTTGATGCAATTGAAGGTGTTCAGTTCTCCCATATGTCTTTGATTCCAACCTGTGATTATACTCCATTTCCAAGGAATTGGATTCCTGATCATGAGCAGGTTTTGCATGAGTATCTACGATTACAAGATCCCAAATTCTTTTGTGATTTGCATAGATCAATAAAGCATCAAGGTTTGAGTCTGCCTCAAGATGAGATATCTGAAATTGTGTGGGATTACAAGACTCTTGGAGTTCGAAGATACTAATGTGAAAATGAACCAAACAATGGCCTGCAGAAGTGTGAGACATTATGAATTCTGGTGTGAAGTTAATGAATTAATTCAAGTGATGAAACTAAACTCCTTTGAGGATGGACTCTTGCAATGGCCTAAGAGGTTTCCCTGAAAAGGTAATGGACTCTGTCAATCTTCATAATCTTCATGGAAGCATGTGCTGAAGCCAGCAAAATTGCTGCCAGAGCTAACAATGTGTCTGGATTAGCTTGGATGAAATTTTCATCACATTGTCTTTGGTGATTACCTTGGGAGAGAATCCAAGCAGAAAAGAAGCACCTTAAAATATGAAGATATTGTGATGACATTGGCTGGACAACAGAGGATATAATTGGGACAGATTTTCCTTCTGATGCTAGAAATTGCTGCAGTTTTCAAACATGAACTAGGATACCAATAGGAGGGTTCAATGATGCACTACGAAGGTGGATGGATGTTCCTGCAAGAAGTTCAAGTTTCAAGCTATTGCTGTAGGTACTCTGGAGCTAGAGGAAAGCCACTACAAACCGTGCTGAAACAGAGAAAGATGACATGATTGATGGTTTACCTTGTATTAAAAAGGCCTTAATTAGATTGCAGAAGTTGACTAAATGTCCATCTCAAGTTTACAACACAGTTAAGTTTCATGGAGGAATTTTGATGATCTAATGAGAGCTCGGCAGTGGTCCTGTTGAAGTTTTTGGTGCTGTAAATTGCTGATTCATGTACCTTCTTTTTAGGGACAGATCTTTCACAAAAAATACTATGACTTTGCAGAACAGATTTTTACTGGTAAGTAATAGCAGTAACCTCAGAGCATTATCATGGTTTTGGCTTTAGTTGGCGTACAGACCATATTTTTACTGAGGAACTTGTGCAGACTGTTTTTCACTCACTTACTGTTCCACAACACACTAACATCAACAACTCAATATTCTATTAAACTTCATGACACTTTCCCTAGTTATTTAGTTTTCAGTGTAAATTTGGATTGGAATATCATTTAATGCTGTAAAGCATTGTTGTCCTTTTCTTTATTACTCATGCTCTTATTGATCGAAGAGACGGGGAAAGAGGCATTTGCATTCTTATAATGATATTGGACGAAGCATCTATTGGCATTAAACTTTGTGTTGATTTTATGATTTTTCTGTGAATGAGGCATTCATCGAATATGCATATCAAAGCTGTTAAAGTTTCATTCATTTATGCTTCATTTGGTGCATCAACCAAGCAATTATTCTACTTACTCTTCTATAGTAAATTGTTGCTGTTTCTTGTACACTGCAAATAAACTTGCAACTTGCAAGCCTTTAATATCTCTTGTGTGATTTGGTTACTGGCCATGGAAGGAAAACATGAAAAGAACTGAAAATTATATATCCCACATTGTCTTCATGTCCCAACTCCTATATGGTAATTTGCTTTGCATTGAAGTATCAGCAACCAAATAGACTGCTTGAAAAATGTTGTTTGATCTTAAACATAGATATAGGAAGACCATAACAAATAGAAGGATGCGCATATAGTAATGTTGTTTGGCATTGAAGTTGCTTCATAACTATGCAGAGTAGTGGTTTATGTTTAATTTTAAATTGATTAGTGTAGACTTGAGCCACCTTGATGGGCGCTCAAAAAAGACAGGACAAATTTTTATCTCTAAAAAGTCCACTTTGATAAGGTTTTATTGAGATTTATACTTTCTGTATTAGTAATGAAAGTTTTAACTACGTGTAGATTGATATTACTCCTTAAAAGTTTTACTATAGATTTGTTATTGCTTTGTCTGGTCAAAATATCCTGTTTACTTTTATGTTTTTTTTTTTTTTTTAATAGAAATAATTATTGTAATTTTTTATATTTTGTCAGTTTAAAGCTTTTTTCTTCCAATAATAGCAGCATCTGTTATTGCTATTATGTTTTCATTGTTTTTCTGACCTATTTCCAAAATTTCAAGATGATTTCAACAATTTTGGTGCTTTTGTTCAGTATTATTCTCTGTAAATTTCAATTGCAGCTACTCAAGTTGATTTTAGAATCAGACTTCTCTTATGGAGAGAAAAACTCCTAGATTTTTTTACCATCATGATGTATTGTTGCAATTTGAAAACATACATTTGCACTATTTTTCTCAGCACGTGATTCATACATGTGTTATTTAATAATTCAATAACTTGTAGCATGATATTGTTACTTATTATTATTAATATTTAGTAGCATTTTTACGAATCATTTTATCTAATTTTCCATCAGATGCTAGAAACGGGAGCAGTTTTGTAAGATGAGTGTATGCTAAGATGGTTTAATCCTGGACTGCAAAGTAAATGGATGTTCCTGCAAAAAGTTCAACTAGGATACGGGACAATTTAATATTGTGGCATTAACTTACATTCTTGTAGGTTTCGGTGAACATGACCATAACAAACAGAATTATTAGAACTACTTCCATAGAGCTACTAGCTACCTTGAATCCTGAAACCTTCTATTTGCTTTATTTCCTTGCTGTATCTCAAATCTAAGCTCATCAGTTTCGATTCTTCTGGTCATCATCCTTGCCCTCTTTGATCTCAAATGCTGAAAGTGGGAATGAACTACCCAATCCACTGGGAATTCTAGACTCAATCTTGCCAGAAGAAGGATCTTTGATGTGGATATTAGCAATGGGGAACGAAATGAACGCCTTACTTGCAATGCCAGTGACATTTTTCAGCCAACCTTTTTCAATAAATGCTGTGATTTCAGGGTCATAAGAGACTGTCTTTCCAATTTGCTGAAACTTGTACTCTTTCCTTTTCTGCTGCTTCAGCCAAAGAAATCCGGAGGATGGGTTATGGCCCAACTCGAAGATGTCTAGTGGGAGGCGGCTGTTGGGGAGAGAATGACACGCTAGCAGTTGGCGACATTTCTCCTTGCAGAGAGCTTCACCATGGTAAATTTGAGCATTCTCCCTATGGGACTCAATTACTTGGGATGACATTATGAGGTCCGGTTTGTTTATGAAAATTAAGGTGGTTATGTATGCTGATGGAAACGGAAGGATAGATGAGGCTTTATATGTATAATGGGTGGTTGTTGATTTGGAGTCCAAGTTATCAAAGTTGCTTCTTTGTGTAGCCTGTTGCTTCAATTTCCAAATTAAGGGTGCCTAGTTCTAGGCTTCTAGCTCTTATTATGGAAGAGAGCATGGACCTGAAGTATATTAGTTCCCTGTTTTTATGAATGAAGAGTGTTGAGTATACCACTCTATAGGCCTGTGGTCCTGCACAGAACTTAGAATGGCTGGCCGTATATGCTTAGCGATGTAGGAAATTGGTGAAATTTGGGAAACTGGTCCACGACCCTTTGGTATTGTTCGGCAACCATGAATATAGTGATGAAAATAAAAATAAAAATTTTATTTCTATATTATAATTATTTGGTTGAAAGAAATAAAGTGAGAACGAAAATAAAAAGTAAAAACGAGAATAAAAATTATAGATAATTTTATTTTCATTTAAAATATGAAAATAAAAATAAAAAATGAGAATAATTTTTTTAAATAATAATATATTTTATTTATTTATTGTCTATTAACTCGTTTCTATCACCACCACCACAATTATAACCACCATCACCATAACTACTACTACTATCATCATCACAACTACTACCACCACAAGCCACCACCACAACCACAAACTACCATCACCACTTTTATTATTTTTACAATCGTTATAGTTTGATAAAATTAATTTTTAATTATTATTTTTATTTATATAAAAAAATCAAATATTAAAAAATTTAAACTCGCATTTTGATTTTTCATTAGTAATCCAAATACGGTATGAGAATAAAAATATTATTTCGATTCTCTAATTTTCATTCGATTCTTACATTTTTATTTCAAACATTTCATTTCTAATAACAAAATGACACCTTTAAACTTTCGGTTGGTCGGTTTATGGTAGCTCCTTTAACGGTGAATACTAGACCATTTATGGTAATGTCACATGGAGCTACCCTATTCAGTTAGGGAATGATCTTTAAAAATTACCTAGACCTTTAAGAGGGGATCCAATTGATCTATTCCAAGAGGAGGAGCAACGAGATAGTATTTTAGATGTTTTTTAGCCTTTCTTAATATATATATTTTTTTAAATGATAAGAATGCAATGAAATAAGGATGACTCTTATTTGCTAGGGTCGTGCTATGCCATTTATATTTGAGCGGTCGATTTGAGTTGAAAAAAAAAAGATTCTTTTGATATAACTATTTTAACTAATTAGAAAAAAGCTAAAAAAAAAAAAAAATTAGATTTTTTTTTTTAACGGATCCCGCTTTGAATTCACTAGATCAATCTCTCTAATGTATCCTAAAAATAAAATATAGACATTGGCCTTGGCAGAATACCTATATTGATCCTCGCAACTCAAGGCTTTATGGTAAACAATGTCAATCTTCAGTGAAATCTATTTATTATGTAATTTGCACACATGTCAATATTAAGAAAAAAAAACATAAATTAGTATATAATAAAATTAGTTAAGTTGCTTGGTTAATTTTACAAAAAATGGAGCATCTACGAATTCTTCTCTTCTTTTATATGTGCATGTGGCAAAACCTAATTTATGGAGAAATATTATTGGTTAATATTTAGATCTATTAATATATAAACAATCCACGTGTTTTTACTTTAGAGATTAATCGTTTTAATATATATATATATATATATATATATATATATAACTTGAGCTTAGTGTTTTTTTTTTTCCTTTCAGTTTCTGATATCTGTGGGTTTAAGATGAATCCAACATGTTAAAAACTCATTGATGCAGAATCAAACGAAAGATGTGCCAAAATATTTTGGTAGAATTAAGAATGCCAGTGACAGTTTCCCAAGATTTCAAGGTTGTGGTTGGCAGTTAATTGCTAATTTAATGTTTTTGGCCTGTTCATTCATACCAGCTTTTATTTTTTGGAAAAAAAAAGTCATTGTACTCCATTGATAACAAAT